GCCCGTAGACAGGATTTACTTTTTCACTGAATCCTTCCAGATGAACCACTATTTGAGCGGTGTTTTTTAGAAGGGATCGCTATTTTGAAAGTAAAGTACTTGAGCATCAATTCAAATTTGTCGTTGGTGACTAATTTGCGTCATATTGGCTATTTTTTCAAAGCGTTTGGTCACGAAAATTTCCATTTGACGCAATGGCTGCTTACTGGTCTCTTTAAAAATATCGTTTTACTTTTTTTCAAAACGGTTTTAGCTATTCATCAATAGTAAGGACTCTGCTCATATGACCATTCTTGTTCTATTTGACTACGAATTCGGCACTACTATTCAATGACGTATAGCTACTTTAAGTGCATTTGGCTTGACTTCTTGCGCCTTTTCAGTTCCAGCCAATGGTGACCATAGATCAACCGCAACTAGATTTCACTTTGCTCGTGTAGATGGTCACTTTAAACTAAACGAAATTGAAAGAATTGTTTTAGGAGGGTGCACGTTACAGAATTGTGTAATCTTCTTACTATTGGCATTTAAAAAACATTATAACGCTTACCGCTCTGATGTCGACGTCACATCTTTCACTAATGCTTGTTGTGGCTCATCATTCTCTTCAGAATTAGCTGAAAAAAGCACAATTTGAAACAGAGCATTCGTTTGGATTTTAAATTCAGAATTCATAAGGTGCAGTAGCGTAAAAGCGCTCACATTTGCGAGCACGGAAACGGCGCTACCAATGATGCTGAATGGCTTGCAGCACCACTGCAGCGTTTGTTTGTTTGTTTGTTTGTTTGTTTGTTTGTTTGTTTGTTTGTTTGTTTGTTTGTTTGTTTGTTTGTTTGTTGGTTGGTTGGTTGGTTGGTTGGTTGGTTGGTTTGATTGTTTGTTTTGCAAGATGAACCGAACGATTTTCATCTAATCACAAGTAACATCAATGCCACGTAATAAATTCTCCTTCACCCAAAACACCTACAGTTTTCGTGATCTATGAGCCTTTAAACGTCGTGAGCATGATGACTGTGGTCATTCCCACCTTCTCCGTGGTCAATGTTCTGGAACGAGGAGGCGACTCTGGCCAAATAAAGAAAGTTTGAAATAGTCACGCTGGTAACGTACACTTGTTTCAAACCCATCCTGAGTTATTGTTTGTGAATCAAGTTTCGTATGTTATATTTGCAGTGGCTGTTGATCATACTGTCTGACAGTCACTTTGTGCGTTTGCATCGGTGCCGTGTTACATGAATGACATGTTGGCCCTGAAACACGCTGTTTGCGTTGTAACTGTACTATAGGAACTATCGCTAACTAGTGCTCTAACTATACTATCGCTGTAATGTTCACTACCCCAAAGCTGTAGTTTCTGGCAGGTTGACGTTCTACTTTAATGCGGTGACTGCTGTTAGCACCAAAATTGTGCCAACAGGCTCTGCTCCGCCTTAAAGGCTGGGTCATGGTGACGGAAAAAGTGAATTTAGATGGTCTTCCTGTGAAGCTGTGCCATCCTGCGTACAGAGACTATATATATATTCAAGGTTACGAATCAGCTACGTAATTGAGGCAGAAATGCGAACTTTTGTATTAGTTCTTATAAAAGCTTATTTAAGTCGTTCGTCGCACGTGCATGGTGTATATTCTACAGCAACAATCTCGTAATCATCAACACTGAATGTAAAATATAAATATGATGCACCTAAGACCTGCTTTGGCTTAAGAACTGACCGTATCAGCTTTTAGATGAAAACAGCTAGCCTATGAAGAGAACAGCATGACACTAGAACAATGATATTCTCCACAAAGTAAAGCATAGTGATAATCCTTTTTGTAATTGACAGGAATGTTTTCTGAAATCGATGCGACTCCCTCGGACCAACAGGAGTCTTTGCGTTGTTGCTAGATACTATATCCGTGTCTGCGTTGGCTCAAGCAAAATGTGTAAATGAATTCATTGTAAAAGTGCTGTCACATATGAACATCTTCAACTGCAGTCGGTCTGAAATATGCGATATCTTTCTGTAATATCATTGTTATCGAAATTGGGAGGGCATTCAGTGCTTAGACAAAACAATCGCTGACAATTAGATGTAACTGACTGGATTCCAAGAGAAGTAAAACATGTAAACATGAGGCAGAAAGGTAGGTGGGTAGGTGAGATTAAGAAGTTTGCGGGAAGGAAGTCGCAGCAGCAAGCACATACCCGGGTTGGTATATAGGCGTAACATTAGCGATGCATTTGCCCTGAATGGGCGTAATTGAGGCTGATTGTACATGTTTTTGGAGGGTAATGAATCTATTGTTGGAAAACACATTTACCTTGACGTGCAGAATTTTCGTGGTATCAGTAACAGCCTGTCATTTAAAGTAGTAGCCAATCGCACATAAGTACAAAGTGTGAATTTTTGGCCTCAAAGCACAATTAAAATTGATACTGCTGCGGTAATTAAAGCTGTATTAAACTCGGCAGCACATTGCACAACATTGCTTAAGTAAAGGCAACAAGTCATTTTAAGTGCTATTTCACAGTGAAGAAAAGCCTATCACAAGAAGAAAATTTTGTCCTTCTCGTACCCAATTCATTAAGTAGTTATATGGCAACAAGCAATTTTTTGTGTTTTAGCTACAAATGTTGTTTTGAGTTTTCAGTTAAACTTTTCAGCTACACAAAGACAGAACAGGTTAGAAATGTCTCGTATCTCATTTCAAGAGTTTACCGAGAGTCACAGAAAGTTTGTACCGCGATTTATAACTCGAGTGGTAGCTTACAGGCAGTGTTGGATTACGTCACACTCCTCATGGGATTAGTAAAAATGCACTGCCAATAGATGCTCCTAGTAGTATTTCACACGTATAGTTAAACATAGATGTGTTGCCTATTCGGCAAGACTTTGAAACGCCGATTCTCTACTTCTTAGGTATTCGTCATTTATAAAATAACAAAGGCACGCTCGATACCTATAGCCATTTCGTGGACATTCTCTTGTGAGGAAACATTAATATCTCGCAAATCTCCCTGTCATTATTTAGCGTACGATTCTCCGAGAATAGCTGAAAAATATTGCAAGTTATTACGCTATTGCGTACCTTGTGTAAGCGAAGACACCGGCTTCTGCTCTTCTGAGGAAGGCGAGAAACATTCGGGAACTGCCGACGTTGCAATCGGCTTATCTCGTGGTTGTACGAGTTCACCCCTCGGTTTCCCTTTTGATCGGTCTTTTTCGTGGTCCTTGCGCAGTCCTCGTTCCTGTTCTGCTTGCTGGTGATTCATACCACGGGTCTCTGATGCCCGTCGCGCAGGGGACACAGGACTAGCGCTGCTTGAACCGTCAGTTGACGCAGAGGTGTCTGCATTTCTATCACTGATGCGAGCCCTCCTGTCAAAATCGCTGCGGGATTCGCCAGAACGTGGAGTGGGTGTGGCCGATTGCGAGGATGGAGAAAGAACGTGAGTGCTCTTGGGTGTCGTAGCCACGGAAGGTGTCGGAACCCCGGGAGCAAGCTCCTCGCTTCAGGTTCACGAGCAGTCATGAAATTAAGATACCTCGTTAAGTAAGCCCGTACAACACCCCCATCCCCAAGCATTCATTCATTGAGTTTCTCTTTCACAAAACTATACATATTCAGGCTATGATTGCTGCTGCTCTATAGGCTTCAGAGAAACAGCATTTTCGAGATACATATCCTTCGCACTTCAAAGATGGCTAACGTTCAGCGGCGCTTTTGTAGATTACGTTTACGTGTTACGAAACTTGAGACATCTGTAGAGCATCGTTGCTTTAGTAATGTAGCATGACTATTTGCACGAGAGGCAAGCAGCCTCTGTATGACAATTATTTTATGAAAATATTGTGCGCATCCACTCAAAATGCATCGCTGTTTAGATATCAGCTACCATGGTGCAGAATGCGTTGCAGACTTCAGGTATCTTTTTAATGTGTGCTACTTAGTTGCATCATGCAAACACAACGCAAACAAGTTTTGTTTTTCGCTTTCAGCGAAGACAAAGCCCTGTACTAATATTGCTCAACGTTATCAACAGTCAGCCAAACCAGATATCGACTAAATTTCGAACGCGCTGCTTGAAAGAATACATTTATTTAAAAAATACACTTTCTTATTATGAAGCCACAAGGCACTTCACCTTTTCATTGGAGCTGCAACTACCAGGGTTAAACAGTTTCACATTCTTTTAAGTTACCACTTTCATCAACAGTCGATGAAGTGTGTAGAACCGATTCTCAGACCGACGCTGGTAGTGCGGCGTTGAATCCTAAATCACCAAGCTGATTCCCAGCCTATGGCTTGCACCACAAACTTTCTCTTTCAGGGTCCTGACTGCGTGCTTGTGACGCAATATTGATTGATTGGTATGCGGTGTTTAACGTTTCAAAACTATTACATGACACAGCAATGGGTTCTTTTAGGCCCATCATCTCCTGTTCGGATAGTTTAGGTTAAAAAAAAGTTGGCGCATGTGTGTGTCTGGACAGTGTTTTTTTTTCTTTTTGCTTTTATTACTTCGTTAGCATCGGGGAATGCTTCCTCCAAACTCTTTCATTCATCCATGCCGGTAGTCAGACCTTACCTCAGGCACTTGCAACACTTCTCTTGCTGCAGCGAGAATGATGATCATTACCAGGAGAAAGAAATACAGCAGTTAGAGCCAAGATATACATTTGGCAAAATCGAATGAAAAGTGACCTCGATTAGATATCTCTTGAATCTCCGAAACGGTTGACCTTCTTCAATTTTATAATCGTAATAAAAGCAGTTCATAAAATTATTGGAAAATTCACACGCAAAGACACGTGACCAGCGCACCTTCGAAGGCGTATTCGAGAACACTCGCTCAGTTTGCCCCTTCCTTACGCCAGGTTTACATGTACTAAGCCGTGAGCTCCACATGAATATGCAATTTATACATACTTCACTGAAAACTACAAGGAAGGAGCCTCTGGGCACGTCTTATACGCTATTACAATGGACACACTGCCGATTGGAGGTGTACTCACTCGTTGCCATTCATTGGCGTCATAATACTTTGCTTGTGTCCTTTCGGCTCCTTGGTGGAGCCCGCTCGATGACCCTTGCGCTTCTTCGGCTTACGTGTCTTCGATGGGTCAATAGTACTCGGCGCACCGTCCTCAGCAGCGGGTACTTGAGGAGTAGTGATGCCCGGGACAGAAGACGCCATTGCTTCTCCTTCTTCTTCTTTCTTACGACGAAAGCAGCAGGTAATGACCTTGTGGCCAATGCAAGATGAAATATTTCTCAGATCGCCCGTGCAGGGGGAATAGACGATATCCGATGCACGAATTAGGACGGTTGATATATCTCTTGAATATCAGCAGAACGATACGACATGGATGTAAATAATGACGTGCATGACTTCCATGTGATGATTATCATGTATGGACGTGTCATTTAGCTTCGTCGTCCGTTCGCGTCACGTCATACTCAATTTTATACATGTAAAGCTAGCGAAACGGTCGTGAGTGCATCATGAGCGTGGCATATAGTCATGTTGTTATATGACACGCATCTCATGATTATCATCTTTGCACCACTCACATACCTTTGTCATTGGTTCACGTGACGTAATACCGAATTTGGAATATGTGAAGCTGATTAAACGGGCCGCGAGCAAACCATGAGCGTGGAATGTAGTCATGTTGTTACATGACACGCATCTCGTAATTATGATGTTTGCACCAGTTGCGTACATTCGTCGTCCATTAGAGTCCCATAATAATAAATTTTGTATATGTGAAGCTAGTGAAATAGCCACGAAAGCATTATGAGCGTGGCATTTAGTAATGAACCATGATTGAATGGACGTGCGCGTCATCATTTCCACAGTAGGGTCTGTCACATGTGTTCGCCATGCAGTCATGTGATACCATAGCAGTTTTTCAACATGTCATGTGAATGAAACCACCGAGAGAGCAGCAAATCCATGAATTGTAAATCCTGACATTCATGACATATATTCCATGATAGTTACGATGTTATGATGAGTTATTATGATGTTATGACTAGTCAATTCTGCTTATCATACAATCATGTTATGCTATTCCAAATTGGGTATTGGTACCATTAGCGACACCACCAGGAGAGCCAAAAGTCGCAGGCGGCTACATAGATAGATAGATAGATAGATAGATAGATAGATAGATAGATAGATAGATAGATAGATAGATAGATAGATAGATAGATAGATAGATAGATAGATAGATAGATAGATAGATAGATAGATAGATAGATAGATAGATAGATAGATAGATAGATAGATAGATAGATAGATAGATAGATAGATAGATAGATAGATATGCTCAAAGTAGCCGAAGCTCGCTAAGAAATGTTTCATCCTTTTTACCAATGGACCACTTCAATTTCTTGGACAAAATTCAATGGTGGTCGATGCAGATGACCGCTTGTTCAGAGGGCAAACTCAGCTACACAACTGGTTTCGTACCAAAGACTGCGTAGGGGGCAGACGCAGGCCTTGAGATGGCCTTGTCTCAGTGGACGATCCAGCGTTGGCTCTGAGGCTAGGGCAATGCACAAGGGTTATATTATTGAGTGAAGCTGTACACTGGATCTCCTGTCTAGACGGCAGGAGTCAAGGCGTTGCCCTCACGGATCCTACTAAGCGCATCCTCCTCCCAGCAAGCCAAGCCATCGATATGATTAGATCTAGGCAGAGAGCTGAATGGCCGCGTAGAGCGTCGGAGGGTGTCCTCGGCCAGTAGCGAACTGCCCTTTGGGAACAAACGACGTAGAAAGAAAATGCCGCTCGCATCTTCTCACGGGGAAACTTGAGTAAATGCATCGCGGAGAGGGGGGAAGATTATCGAGTGAATGTGTGTAATTTGACATGGTGTAGGATTGTGTTATTGTTATTTTGTTTTTATTGTTCTTTATTATTTAATGAAGAAGAAGGGTTGCCATCAACGCCAAGCGAAAGCCAAGTAAAGACGCCCTTTACCAAATTTTTTATGCGCGATCCAGTGCCTACATTAACAGGGTGGCCAGTGTACGGCTGTGCAGCGTAAGCAGTAGTTTCTCTTTTTTTACTAGCAGACGCTGCCTGCGTCAGCCTTGCGAAGCGAGTGTAACCCCTAGCTCACACTGGCTGTGTTCTGATTCTTAGACAGCACGTAGACAGTCTACGCAGACTGCTTAGAAGCCAGCATCAAGCCCATGTTGTTCGAGAATTGGAACACGTCTAGATGGCTTATACGTGACGATGCGCCACCTCGCGTCGAAGAGAGAAAGCCAAAATAAACAAACGTAACAGTTGTATTTTCGGCCTTATTTCGGGTTGAAATCTAAAAAAATTGAATATTACTTACATTGAGCGCCTGGAGAAGCGTCTGCTTGTGTGCAGACGACCACTCCGGCGAGATCCAATCTATCTGAGTGATTCGCTGAGCCGCAATCTTGTTTAGACAGCAAAGTAGCCTGCATCCTATTTGTATACGATGCGGTCTTCTCGGAGCTGTCTATTTTGCCGGCTACGTGAGAATTGGAATGGGACTTAAGATGGCCGCCGTCTATTTAGCTGTCCATTTAGCCGTCTACTTTGAGTATTGGAACACACCTACTGAAGCATCCACTTTCAGCAGCGATCGGAATTCTTCTGTCGCGAAAACGCAGCGTTGTTCACAGTAGGCACGCACTGCACCACCGGATTTGCCGAATAGCCATAGCACGCCATCTGCCGAGTGAACAATAAGCTACGGGGTGAGCACGGGATGGATGCCCTGTTCCCCAGATATTGTCGGCTTCAGTACACCTGTGAAGGGTTAGATCTTTTTGTTGCTGTTGTTGTTGGCGCATTTCAACGCTCGTTGCATCTATGACAAGAAAGCCAACTGCATCACAAGGTGCTCGAGATTCAACGAGCAAAGCAACATACGTGCAGGAACTGGTAGTTACCAGTCAATCTGAGTTTGTTTCCTACTTTGTTTCCGTTTGTCGCCACCCTAAGGCCAAGGGGGTAACTACCAACGCCACCCCCTTGGGCTTGGGGTGGCGTTTGTTGTATAGGACGGCGTGGTTGCGCACCAGTTCAATGAGCATTTCTGCTAAGCGCACCTTACTTGACTGTGACATGACGGGCCAGTTGGACTTGGCTGCCATTTCTTCAAAGTCTTGGGCTAGCGTTTCTATTGGTTCGCCGTAAGCCGATCCAGTGGCAGACACCACGAAAACCGGTCTGAGAGCGATCGGCGCAGAGAAAAATTGTCCTGCGAGATCAGCCCTTTCAGCGGATCTCGCTGCCACCGAATCGGATTCAGCGTGCTTTCAGCGGCCGCAATGCTCAGTGGGAACGAGTCATAAGGGAGTGTACGGCGCCACCGCCTACGCCAAAGAGTGACATCGTGCGACTAAGAAATGTTCTACATTTAAAAGTGGTTATTGAACATCTTCGGGACGAAAAGCAGCGTCTACGTTCAATCGGACTGCTTCACTCTGATAGGTCCATAATGCCCGACAGGGTAAGTGCATGATCAGATAACTTAGGGCACGTCTGAAGCTATGCAGTGCAAGCTAATGACTTTTCACACCTATCGAATAGCATGCGTGTTGTCCACATTTATAACTAATCCATTTAGTGAAACGGAATCTACCTTGGGTATTATAACTAATACGCCATCTCGTATAGCCGTGACTACCACAATTATTGATGGTATTAGAACCTCTGCAATAACGGTGCCTGTTTGCTTCTCATCAGGCATCGTGGGGCATACGGGGCTGGTCTGCAAAACGTACTTGTAGATTGCTGAATCTCTTTACGCCTCTAGTAAGCCTTCACAGATTGGGAAAGGGGGATCCTGTGCCATTTCAAGGTAGGAGTGTTGCAGGCAAATCAGCTGAAACAAGCCATCTTTCATATGGCAGCTATTGGCCTTATGGTGCAAGTGAGAACACAAAATTGCTGAGTGGTCCGACGACCTTCACGAGGTTTTCGCCGAGGCAACACCGGGGGGATTATATTTATCACAGCGCCAAAATTTTGTAGTAGTAAACAATCGAGAGTTATTATTTTGCACGAGCATGAACTCAGTGTGGTTCTGCCACAACGTAAGCGTATTAGAAATTCGTATGTTTGAAAACAGCACTATTGCGTCAGCAAGAATTCTTTTTTTCAGTTGACATTGTTGAATCACTTTCCTTTATCTGAGCATCAGTGTGACAAGAAAGAAAATACCTAATAGGCTCCGTCACACAATCCTGGATCCTGCGGAGAATCATCGGCTCTTTTCAATCTCAATAGACCTTGTCGCATTCCCTTTGCTGGTCACGGGTGCGTCAGTTTTCGCATTTATACTATATCTCCACGGAGGTAATTTTCAATCATTAGTATAGGGTGCCATGGTGTGTTGCCAATCCTGCAGCCTAATCGGTTTTTTGTAAGACTGTTGAAACGGAACATGACTTTCAGATTGTTCGCAAGGGTGATTATTCCACATAGAATACGCTGTAGTTTTCGACAGCAGGAAGAACGAGCACCACCATGATGTGTTTGACTGTTGGCATAAGCGCAGTATGTCGAAGGTCATTGTCAATACTAAAGCATCTATGTCAAAAATAAAACAGGTACCAGTAGTGAAGTAGTGATATGTGTTTTTGTGCATTCGACATTCTGTTTCAGGAAAGATCATATATCAGATAATTCAATCAGAAAATATGTGAGCAAATATCAAAATATCAAAAAAGTAGGCGTCTTCAACCGCACTTAGTGCTCATTTAGTATAGAATCTACTTAGTTGAAGACAATAGGGGTTGCAATACCCGACAATACAAGTAAATCCTATTGCAAACTACTTCGCTTATCAGTCACCTTTATCATCAACATGATTTTCATATATCGGTTTCTCCCAACTATCATTACCACTGCGTGGCACCCGCTGATCGCATCCGATGCCTATAAATTTTATGTGCCGTCACATCGTTCACTGTTTAAACTTGCGTTATTCATTCACGCTACAATGTCTTGCATTCAAGGTCTCGAAGTCGAAGACCACGTGAGGACATTTAGCTTCCAGCTACGAAAGTGAAAGGTGGAACACACAAGAACAGGCACCGACAGAATACACAATCTGCCCAACATCTTGCGCTAGCGTTCTTGAATATTTTCTTCGGTTCATTATAATAGGATCATTTGGCTTTCTTCTTACAAAAAAT